TGCAGCACGCAAAGCATCCCAACTGCTTGAACGGTCAAGGAGCTCTCCAGTAACCTGCAAATTGGAAGCAAATCAAAATTAACAATAAGAGAAGTGATTCCACTTTTATATACAGATTATGTTCCAACATCACTCATATATCATTCTGCATAAACACATGCTCTAAAAAGCGACTACCCGAGCTCTAACATTTTGTTTCTTCGATCGGTGTGTACTGACTATTTCTGAGGTTAATGCAAGTTGTTCTGGTTGTTCCTACATCGTATTTGGATATTACTACCATGCATCATAGTATCGTACCAGTTATTACCCAAAAATTCGTTCTAACATATTTCAACTTTAAAAGACTCACATTCACTCATCACTTGTTTATCGGGTAAATTCTTACAAAAATTTACAGAAAGAACTAATAGTGGAACTAATGTGCATAACATGAGAATATGGCTCAATGTTCATGAGTTTCTCAACTTCCACCGAACCAAATTTAGAAACCTGCAGAGAGAAGGTGTATCAGTGAAAGTATAACAACAAAGGGGAAGAAATGTATGTGACACACTCACACACTCTACATTTGAATCCACACAAGAAACACACACACCATATTGATATAGAACTTCAACTAATGACCCCGGTAACCCCCAATTAAGGATAATATGTTAAAGAATTCAACTTTAACGAAAATGAAAATTGAACTATGTAGTTTCCATGTGTTGTCAGAAGTTAGTCCATGGTTGAGTAGAGTGTCACACTCGTGGTCCTTACAAAGGTGGTTTACAACCTAAACACCTAACCATCATGACTCTTTTGGTCTTGTATGGAATATCTCCCACCTACAGTTAACAAACACTGAATAACATTCTTAACTAAACTTAGAAAAAACAGCCTAAGAACAACAGAAAAAGTTACAAACAAAAAACCATAACAAAGTATGGCTAGACTCTAGAGAGTTACTTGAATGGGCTCAAAGTGTGTGATAAGCGGAAATTTAAAATGATAACCTAAAAGGAAGTACACAAATCTTTAATGATCATAAAATTGAGAACTAAAAGAATACATTGTATGCAATGGAAGTGGAAATTAAATATAAACAAAAGGGTAATGAAGAATCACAATTAACATGTGGTTTATGAAAAAAAGATGGTTTAAAAAAAGGAGTGCCATTTATCACTACACAAATATAGAAAATTCATCCATTTAAACATTAATAAAGAAATTCTTAAAAATTAAAAAAAAAAACATTGCAACCTGCCTGGTATACCATCTGTAAAATTTATCAGTTAGCATCCTTTCGATCACACACACATCTTATGCATTATTCACTGCAAACATATTCCCTTGTTTCATTAAAGTGAGCATGTCAACTTATCTTTAACTTGAACCATTGTTGATATGAGCTACCACTAAGGAAAGTTAAAAATTCGAGTTAAAGATCATTAAAACACCAACGTTTACATCTTTTAATAGTTCCAATTCCTAACAATGGTTGATGGAAAAGAACCTACCAGTAGAGTAAATTTTACAAACACCTTGTGCGTATGCTCAAAAATTACTATTTTAACAATCAAAGCAATAAAGGAAAAATTGTGAGACGTCGTATCCGATTGAGATGGATAATACTTTGAGGGTTTCATTGAGATGAAATTAACCGTAAGAAACCACATGATCATCCGAATGGACATTTAAAGCAAAAATTGAATTTGAAGTCACTAAGCACACACACATAATCATCACAGGAATTTGAAATCACATTCAAAAAATCAAAGAATATATGGAGTAATAAGAATATTAAGGGCAGAAAATAAAACAACAGACCTTGTGTATATTGATGCAAGGGCAGATCCGAGCCCTTTTGGCATAATCATCTAGGGGTTCTTGACACTGTTCAAAACAAATCTTCTCAACCATGGCTTCCACTGTGGGTGACAGAAATCCCTTCTCCTCTATCCCTCAAAAGGCCTATGCTTCAGCTATTAAATTAAGATGGAATCATACTTTAACCCAACAAATACATATATAACTCATACCAAACCTCACACATTTGGAAAAAAATTTGCAGAATTAATGATATGGCTAACAAATTCTGCTCCTATCATGGCAAATACTTCACTGGGAGGGGACAATCTATCCCTAAAAATGGCCTATGCTTCAGCTATTAAAGATGGAATCAGACTTTAATCCAGCAAACACATATGGAGCTCATATGAAATCCCCAAAATCAGAATATTTCAATCTGAAAACCCTAAGAATTCTTTCAAACGAATCAATATATGAATTTAACAGAAAATTTTGGATTACAATCGATCAAAAAATCTAGGAATATGATCGAGAAAAATTGGGAACTCCAGAATAGGGATTAAAGAGCAAGAAGCGATGTAAAATTAATTTCTCTCGATTCTTGAATAATCGATGCATATGATTTTTGGAAACATACCCCGTTTTGACACTTCGAAAATCTTGGATCCAAAATACCTTTTTTCACAAAATTGGAGACTTTCCTTCATTGATAGGGTAGCAATACAATTCCTTTCCTTCGGCGAAGAGATCACACGGAAAATCCGTGATATTTTTGGAGAATAATCGGCGATGGGGCGATGGGTCTCCGCGTGGAGAATAGAAGAAGAAGGGCTTTTCTTCGACCGGAAAGTCCTCGCTAGTGAAAAGGTCTAAGAATGGGACGCGTGTAAGTAATCTGACGTGTCTTAATAATATAGCTTTAAAATTGCCACGTGTCATCATTCTAGACTATCAACTCTCAAATATTATATTAAAGGATGTAAACTAATTATATATAAATGATAATTAAAGTAATATTATTATAAGAAAATAAATAAATGACCAAAGCGTTTCTTATCCGGTTTGATACTTTCTCAATCTTCATCTCGTTATTTCTTTTTACGTTCTTGACTACCGGATAGATGTTTAGGACCTATAGCTATTGAATTATTTCTAAAATAAAATTCAAATTCATAAATTTTACTACTTAGTAAAATCAAACATATGAAAGCAAGCAAATAAATTCATATATCATAAACTCATATCAATTTATTCAATTCGTCATTTTTTAGTTGTTTTTGTTTTTCAGTTTTAGTCTTTTTATATATATCTTAAATTCATGTCAATTTATCAATTTTTCAGTTTTTTTAGTTTTTCAATTTTCAGTTTTTATATATACTCCCTCCGTCCCACTGTATTTGTCTAGTTTGACTTTTTCGAGTCAAATTGGATAAACTTTGAGCTTCAATTAAATAAAAATCGTAATGTATTTTAACATAAAAATAACTTAATTGGATTTATTGTATTGAAAACTTTCAAAATTGTATTTCTTTATGTTAATACTTAATATGCAATATAAATTGAGAATAATTAGAGTTCAAAGTTTATCCAGTTTAACTCGAAAAAGTCAAACTGGACAAATAAGCTAACACGAAGGCAGTATATCATAAATTCAAATCAATTCATCCAAATCAAATAAAGAATATATGAAACCACTAATTCATTCATCTTTCATAGCAATTAGCAAATATTTCAAACTAAAAATTAATAATTAACTCTAGATTTTAAATCCAAAGAATGAAACAATGAAAGAAAGAAAATTAGAAAAAAATTACTAAATTGGAAAGATAGTGAATACGGAATACCTGGAGGGTGCAGCGGCGTCTGGCGGCAGCGTCGGCGGCGTCTCGCTACCGGCGGCGTTCTTAGCAGTCGGCACCCTCTTTCCGATTCGGTTTCGGCAGTAGGCTTCGTCTCCCAGCTTCTGCGCTTCGCGTTAGTTGTCTACGAAGTTGGAAGGGATGGGGCGGCTAATGAGATGGGCTTTTGACATATTGGGCTGGGTGCTGGGCTTCTTATACACATACATATAATATTAAAAAATAATTGGGTCCTTAGAATCATGGACCCAGGCCCTATTGGGCCTGGACGGCCCTGAATCTGCTACTTAGGAAATGTAGTTATATGAAATGTGGAAATTTAATTTTTGTATTAGCTACTAAAAAAATGTTACTTCGTATTACTTTTTTTGTAAATGAATTATATTTTACGGATGGCATTAATCATAAAATTAAAGCTCCTAGTATTAAAAAGGTATAACAATTATTATTTTCAATATTTTTTCCTTGTAGGATTGTTTCTATATATATTCGTTTCAATTGTATTTGTCTTCTTTTATGTATAAATAGGGGCATGCAACTCATTGGTATACATATACTATCAACAACGCAAACAATTCCATATTATTATTCCAATTGAATTGATAAATTCGTAATATGGAAGCATACAACAAAGTTTGCTTTTTCACTTTCTTGGTTGTCTTTGGTACGTAAATTCATCCTCTTACATGTTTAAAATATTTTCCTATCACTATATTTATCTTACTTTTATCACTATATTTAAATTATTTTTTATCTCTGTTTATACTATGTGTTACATTGAATATTTTATTGCATAGCAGACTTGGTTGAAGGCATGCGAATCGGCCTCAACAAACAAGAGTTCGAACCCCCCCCCCCCCCCTCCAAACATTATTAACCTTTTCTTAAAACTATTCCGTGTAAAAAATTTTATTTACACTTTAACCCCACTCTACCAAATAGCTAGTTCCGCCACTGCATGGGGGGGGGGGGGACACCCCCGTTCGTGTGCATTTTCTCTATAGGCCGACCGCGCAAGCTATGGAGATTCTATCATAAAACTAATTATTGGCGATAGGAGAAGAGACCATGTAACTTTTATCCATGTAGATATGTAGCTTAAACCCTCTCATCTACATACTTTCTTTATCCACAATTTTTTTTATTTATAAAAGCTTACTCTTTATACTCTATATTAGTTAAGAATTTAAGAAATCCACGTAAATAAGATAAATATTTTATACACAAAATCTTCTTATAATTACTTATCCTTAGAACTTATATGATTTCACATAATTCAATAATTGTATTATCTACTTTTCTATATAACTGTTAATAATTGGTGTTAAGAATAACGTACTTCCCCTACTCCTTTTTTTAATTTCCTCCTTTTCTTTTTGAGTGTCAACTAAGTATTTTTTTGCATTCCGTTTTAAAGAAAAAAATTGTTTGCTTTTAAAAAAACTATTTATATAAGGAGTGCTAAAACTTCAAATTTTCATTTAGAAATTTTTGCTTGTCAACAAAAGCATTTGATGTGTTGGTTTATTGCATATGTAACTTTTGTATATCAGGTATTTTGATATCAGAGAATGGTCGAGTTAATGCTGATGAAATTTATTGCCCTGATTACTGCAACCCTATAGTTGCCTATATGCGTTGCCCACCTAATGATACACTATTCAAGGACGTCTGTAAAAATTGTTGCAATGTTAAAAACCAGCCTCAATTCAAGGGATGTCACCTCTTCCAAGCTGATGGCACTCTTATATGTTAATCTCTCATTTATACTCACTGATGTAATACTTTATTTTATGAACTTGAAGTAATTAAAAAGTAATGAGTCACTTTTCCTTCATTTTTGTAATTTATACACACATGCACCGGCTTTATTAAATTAATGAGCAATGAATTGATGAGAAATAAGAATTAAGCTAGGGGTACACCAACATGGGGTACTCCAAGTGTACACCAAAGCCAACACAGACACACACAGACACAAAGTGTCTGTGTTACACAGACATTTTGTGTCTATGTGTATCTGTGTTGGCTTGGTGTACACTTGGGGTATCCCATGTTGGTGTACCTCTAGCATTGCCCGAGAAATAATTAAAGTTTAACTAATTCATAAATTTAAAGAGTGCCTCCAATTTAAAAAACTATAGTGCATCTCCCAACCGTTTCTTTTCCTAAATCTCTTCTTAAATTTTTAATTTTTGCATTCCGTTTTGAAGAAAAAAATTGTTTGCTTTAAAAAAATTATTCATATAAGGAGTGCTAAAACTTCAAATTTTCATTTAGAAATTTTTGCTTGTCAACAAAAATATTTGATGTGTTGGTTTATTGCATATATAACTTTTGTATATAAGGTATTTAATTTTGATATCGGAGAATGGTGTTCGACTTAATGCTGATGAAATTTATTGCCCTGCAACCCTATAGTTGCCTATATGCATTGCCCACCTAATGATACATTGTTCGAGGACGTCTAAAAATCAAGAAATATTTATTAATTATACTTTAATAAATTAGAATTAATTTTTCTTTCACTTTTTATCGTTTCAATCAACTAAATATTAATTTGAAGGGTTACATACAGATTGGAGAGTACTCCCTCCGTTTCTTAAATTTCTTCCTCTTTCATTTTTTTTGTTTTCCTTAAAACACTTCCTCTTTCATTTTTTTGTTTTCCTTAAAACACTTCCTTCTCCAATTAAAAAACCACTTTTACCCCTACTTTTTTATACCCTACATATCACATCATACTTTTTCACTAATAACTAAACTATCACATCTTATTTTTACCCATCACATCAGGGGCAAAATTGGAAAGTCAACTAAAATTACACTTTTCTTATTTTGCCCCAAAGTCAAAACAAGAACCGTTTTAAGAAACAGAGGAGTATTTTATAAGAACACATTACCTAACATTCACTTTTTAACCCTTTACTGTGATTTTGTCATTTCTCATTTTCTTACAATACTACATAAATTACGTTAATTGTCACTTAAATATAATTAATAATTTGCATATAAGAAATCACTCTGAATAGGAGTAAAACATATTGAAATTATCAAAATAGGAGCTCCGTATTTTTATCACCAAAATATGAGTTCGTACGTATTGTGGTAATGTGACACTGTATACGAACATTTCACGATACTTTTTGATAATGCATATGGTCATGATTGACACTGTTAATGCATTTTAATTCTTATTTAGAGAATAAAAACATGTGACTCCAATTTTGGTATATTTTTAATATTTTACTTCTAGTTTAGTCTTTTTTCCCTTTGCGTATTTTAATTGTGTAGGCCATTAAGGATAAGGCCTTTAGAGCCATTTTTCCGTCTCGACCAGACGATAGAATATAATTCTCCAGACCGGCCTGGCTTATTCACAACAACGTCTTGCATATCCTCCACACTCAAACTCCCAGACCCAAGTTAATCAAACAACAAGAATGATTTCAAGAACCAAATTCTTTTGAACGAAAACATAATTTTTTCGGTGAATAAAAGTTATCGAAATTAAGGTTTGATAGAAGGATGTTAGAGAGGAAAATGGCTTGTAAGAACATCTCCATCGGCCATGTGATGCTTCCCTAATTACTTTCTTTGGCATTCTTCTTTTAATTGTTTTTTTAATATACACATCATATTAGATATGACAAGACAAGATTAAATTATTTTATGAAATGAGTAGTATAAATAAGTAAAAAAGTGAGTTTAATTTAATCATGTAAATAGTGTCCGAGAAGATCTATGCCGGACTAAGGGAGTATTTGAAAAGTTTTACAAAATTAGAGCTAACAAGGCAAAACAATATTATTTTATGAAATGAGTGGTCAGGACCGTCCCCGAGAACTCGATGGCTTGGGCCGAGACAGGAAAAGAGGCCTTAAAAGTCTTATTCCTAATATCTTAACGAATTAAAGTGTATAAGTTAATTATATTTAAATAAACATTAACATAATAGTATAATACTATGTAACAAAATAAATAAATCACATACAAAATTATAGCAAAAGGTTTATCTCTACTTACTTTCCCAAACCAATATCTTGAAAATTGGACCAAACATATTGGGCGAGCTAGTAGGTCAAGATTTAACCGGTCAATTCGAGGGTCAATGATTTGGTCAACTATAATTAAAAGAATAATATTTTATATTATAGCATTAGATATTATATTTTTGTTTTTTCACTCTCCCATTTAATATTCAATATCATTTTACATATGCCACCATAGTTTTTCAATTACTATTTGTATTATTTTTTATTACTATCAAATATAGTTAATGAGTATCTAATAAAACTAAAATAGTAAGACAATAGTCATTTTTTTTTAAAAAAAGTAAAGACTAGGTAATATATTTTTATATAATATTTTGCAATGTGTATGTAGCACTTTACATTTAAATATAGTTGATTGGAATGAGAAAAAGAAGAAGAAAATAATTATTTTAATATATTAAGGTATAATTACTAAATATTCTTAATTTTTATTGATGATAAAATTTTAGTTTTTTTTTTGAAAAAAAATACTTTTTAGGTATAAGTATTCATATTAATCCAAAATAAAACATAAATAATTTTGTTTATTTATTTTTAAAACTTGTTTTATAAGTTTACTAAACAAATATATTAGATACTAGTGTTTCTTTATCTAATTGATTGGAAGTTTTGTTATAATCAATAAAATAAATATATATTTTATTGCGTGAGTTTTGTACCAACATATCTGGTGGCTCAAGTGGATGGAGTATCTCATTACAATTCAATTTGCCCAGGTTCGACCCTCACACTTCCCAATTTGGGTGTTCTATTTTTTATAAAAGAGTAGTAGGAAATTTGTATATATATTATGCAAAATATGAAAAAATTGTGCCCCTTACAACATTGGGCCCGGTCCGGGTGGACTGCTCGGCCCACCCTTGGACCGGCCCTGTGACTGGTAAAAAAAAGCGAGTTAAATTTATTTGATCATGTAAATAGTAGTGTCTAAGAAAATCTATGACGGACAAATGGAGTACATGAAATTTTTTACAAAACTAGAGATGACAAGACAAAACTATATTATTTTATGAAATAATTAGTAAAAATAAATAAAAAGTGAGTTAAATTTATTTGACTATGTAAATAATGTCTCACAAGATACATGGATGGAGGGAGTACTTGGTATTCCCAAAAGGAGTCGAAACTTGGTGGGCGCATATCTCATTAAGCTTCTCTTCCCCTATTGGTATATTTGTGTTTTTAGAATGCTTTATAGTGCGCCTTGCTCAATGTATATTACGGAGTACTAAGTAATTTAATTAATGCCTCATCAAAGTTCACTTTTTAAATCTTTGAATTTGAAGATTTCTTTTACATTATTGTTTTTAATTTAATTATTGTTTTTACATTATTTAATACTCCTTAACATCGAGTAAATGTCCCAAAATAATTGGTCTCTTTCATATTTCGAACAATTGATAACTTTGTTTGCGTTTGCATATTCTCATTGATCATTTAATAAAATAAAATTGTAATGTCATCACTTGTTTTGTAGCTTTTTTATATAATTTTTAAATATTTAAGTTATTTTTTATTTCTATATCAATTTGTTAATACAATTATTTTTAAAAAAATGAAATTTTGCACTTAGTTCGAAAGGGACAATTTTTTCGGGGACAATGGGAGTAACTCTTACATAAAGATAATATTTACTAAATGTTAATCAAGTAAGTTAGAAGGTCTATGGACCAATGTTTAGTAAGTAAGTGTTAAAAATAATACTCCGTATTTACTAAATGTTTATCAAGTAAATTAGAAGGTCTAAGTAACCTTTATGCTTTTATCCACAAATATGACCAATAATGTTAACAATGCAATGTATAATAACAAAAAAAACTATGTGAAATGTCAATATACAATATCACACTGTCACAAAACAATAATCTTAGTTTGAGGTTACTATCACTCATATTTTGGAGATAAGAGATGCATTGCTCCTATTTCGCAACATTTCTATTTAAGAAAGATAGTTAAATGAAACGTGTTAGTTTAAATTTTTGTAATCTGTATTGCAATTATTTAGAAAGTAAATAAAAATTAATTTTTTAATTTAATGTACAATAAAAATGTTACGTACCGCAGAGTATTCCTTTTTAGCTCCATTCAATTTTTGGCGTTTTTGTTGGATATTTATTCCAAGTAGGACTGTTTCTATATCTATTTAAATTATACTTACTTTCTTTTATGTATAAATAGGGAAATGAAACTCAGTGGTATTGGTATTATATGTATTAAATTTTCAACAGCCAATATTTTTTATTGATAAATTGGTAATATGGCAGCATACAACAAAATTTGCTTATTCGCTTTCTTCGTTGTGTTTGGTAAGTACATTCATCCTCTTAGGGTTTGTTTGGGAATAATGTTAGATATTAGCATTTTGGATTAAATTTTAACAATGCAGATTACTTTCAAAACGCTAACACTATTCTCAAACAAGCTCTTACTAAGTTACTCAATTATTTTTTATCACTATATGTAAATTATTATTTATCTCCATCATTTACACATCCCCTATGATACATGAATCCCTAAATAGAATATGGGATGATATTATTTATGATCTTTTTTTAACACATTATATTGATGCACAAATATTTTTCATCCCTTATATCTTCTAAATTAAATAGTATGATTGTAGGTTGTTTGTTAAAATATCATATAGGAAATCAATTTTTCATTATAACAAAAGATGTAGATACATCTACCTATGTAAATGCATAGCTTTAACCCTTTCATCTACTCCTTCCATCCTGACCATCCATAAAAAAATCCTAAAAACTTACCTTTTATATGCGTTTAGAAACTAAGAAATCTACCTAAACAAGACCAAAATAAAATTTCATTTGTAATTTTCCCTTAGATAGAAGTATCATCACTACGAAATGCCTCAAATTGGCATTTTTTGTTGATATTTGAGTGTTTTTTTGGTATTAATAAGCTAAGAAACATGTTTGAATCCTAGTTATATATTATTGTTCCCTAGATTTTAAACGAATTCATATAATTCAATAAGCTTATTTTATATTTTTCTCCCCCTGTTTCTTTTTTTATATTTCCACTTTCTATTTTTGAACGTAAACTCCGTGTAAAAAGGAAATGAGAATATTAAAGAAAGACGGAGTATTAAAAAAACTATATTTATCTATGGAATGCTTAAACTTTAACTTTCACTGAGAAACTTTTGCTCACCAACAAAAATATTTGATGGGTTTCTATTGCATATGTGTCTTTTGTATAGCAGGTATTTTGATATCGGAGAATGGTGTTGATGTTAAAGCTGATGAAGTTTATTGCCCTTATTATTGCAACCCTACAGCTGCCTATATGATTTGCCCACCAAGCGACACGAATCACACAATGACCGATGACGACTGTAATAATTGTTGCAAAGTAAAGAACCTGCCTCAATTCAAGGGATGCCACCTCTTCCAAGCTAATGGCACTCTTATATGTTAATCTCTCATTTATAAATTATACTCATTGATGTAAACTTGAAGGTATTGAAAAGCAATAAGTGAGTCACTTTTCCTTCATTTTATGTTTCTTGAATGGACAGTAAAGAGATAAGACATACTCCGTATGTTACTTTGAGTGTAGTGTTAAAAGTGAATTTGTTTTGTGTCAAATGCAATAATATAACCATGGAAAGACAGTTGAAATGAAAAAGGTTGAACCATTATAACAAAGGCAATTCAGCAACTCAAATGGGATGTAAACAGATGATGCAAAACAACCATTTATAGATTGAACTTTTAGTCAAGTCATTTGCAGTACATTTTATCCTGAAATAGAATTTCAAAGAGCAACAAGAAAGCAGTTGATATAATTACTAAGTAATGTTGCAACATATTTTTTGTAAGTTATCAAAAATTAATTAACTCCCACTCTCTACTCCACGGGCCAATTCAGTGGTCACAGAAGCCACTGTCATTCGTAAAATTGATAACTCCTACCCCGGTAACCCCTACCCACGTCAATTGCACCCTGCAAATTTAGTTTACTTTTGAGGTCAAAATGTTTAACTTTAAAGTCAACTATACTTGCGGGATGCAATTGACCTTGGTGGGAGATGAGTAGGGGTTTAGATATAAAGTAATGACACATATTCTAATTAGTTGGCAGCATAAGATCAAACAATTTCAATGAACACCAGTGTAAATTATTCAATTTTCAGAGCATAAACCTAAAATCACAAACTCCGTAATAAAATTGGAACCTGGAATCAGGGAGGGCTATTGACAAGGCGGCAGATGTCTGCGGCTCAACGGGGACGGCGATATCGGACATCTCAAAGACGGTGAAGGTCTGGTTCTGCTACGTCGCAGGCAACTGATTGCAGCGAGAGGGCGTCGGCTGCGGATGGCTCCGGTGAGGAAGAGGGCGACGGCTGCGGGAGAAAAGTACTGCGGAGTATTTCTGAGTAGATGGGAATAATCCCCCGTTAATTAGAGGCGGAGTTAGTTTTCGACTTTTTGTAGCCAATGAGTAGAGTTCTTGTAGTTACACACATGCACCTTGTTAAATTAATGTAGGGAAGTAAACAAATCAAATATTTTAAATTCGATTCGCGATTCGTATTTGAATATGATGATTCGAATTCGCGTTATTCAAATTCAAATATTATTTTTGATTCGAATATTAATCAAATTCAAATACAAATAGGGATATATTCGATTCGGATGATATTCGAATATTCGAATATATGTATATATACACAGACCATGTTTTCAACATCAAAACTCAAACAAAGTAATATAGTATAAAATTTATTTAAAATACTAAGAATTCAATAAATTAACGTAACACAAAAATCTAAAGCATATGATTTTTAATAGTTATATTTTATAAAATATAATTTGTGTAAGATGAAAATGTATTAATGTTTTTATATACGAAATACTCCCTCCGTCCCAAAAAGTTTGTTACGTTTAGAAAAAACTGCGTCCCATAAAGTCCGTTACATTTCTATTAAAAAACCACTTTTACCCCTTACTTTTTCATACCCTACTTATCACATCATACCTTTTTTTCTAATAATCTACTCATCACATCCTACTTTTACTCATCACATCAAGGGTATTTTTGGAAAGTCAATACCAAAATATCCCTCTCTTAATTTCCCAAAAAGTCAAACCGTCCCATTCTTTTTGGGACGGAGGGAGTATAATATAGTATAAAGAGTATCGTAAGTTAAATTACAAATTGATGTTGGTCCATCATACAAATTACTCCGTACATATTATGATTATTCAAATATTCGTTTATGATTCGATAACTATTCGAATATTAATCAAATACTTATTCAAATCTTATTTTGAATTCGTCTCATATTCGGATTCGGATTCGTATTCGAAAAAATTAAACAAATACAAATTCAAATATATAGGTATTCGCTTCGATTCGGTTCGTTTACACCCCTAAATTAATGATGCACCAAGTTCCAATGTCATGGGATGACCCGGGGCCCTTCGGTGCTCAATTCATAAGTTTGATGGTTCTTATCCTCCTTTACCCCTTCGGTAAACCTTCCATCCCAGCTTGACCCGAACACACCCCCAACCTCTTCAATTGCACCTCACAAGTTGATTTTGACTTTGGAGTGCAAAATCAACTTGTGGGATGCAATTGAAGGGGTTGGGGGTGTGTTCGGATCGGGCCGGGGTGGGGGGTTTACCGGGTGGATTAGAGAGGGTAGGAACCGTCAATTTTATGAACGAGGCACCGGCCCCGGGAACCAATGTCATGGGAACCTTGCCCTTAATAATCAAAGAATTAATGAAACAATTTAGTTTATAGATAAAAAGAGTGTTCATCTACTTTCATTCGTAAAGTCCTTAATACAACGATCAATATCTTTATTTATTACTCCCTCCGTCCTATATCTTTCTTCCTGTTGCGCAAAACGAATAAAAATCCCAAGTTTTTTCAATCTATTTTATTTAAATATTGGTATAGAAATAAAAAATAAAACATACATATTTAAAAACTACATCAAAAGTTCAACAAAACAAGTGGTGACAAGAATATTTTATTTTATCATATAGGCCATGAAAAAACACAAATAAATATAAATTTTTGTGAAGTTGGAATAGTGCTCTGGGAAGAAAGTTTTAGGACGGATGGAGTAATAGATATGTCATCAAAATATGCTCCTTTCTCCTAAACTTTCTTGACACTATTCACGATCAAAGTTTAAGCACTTCTTTGTATGCTTTTGTTAGTTATTTGATAAAATAATATAGTCTTGTCACATCTTATTTTGTACAACTTTTGATGTGATTTTAAATATATAATTTTCACATTTTAATTTTATACTTATAATTAAATAGATAGATCTAAATGGAAAATAATTTCATCAAACCTCGTAAAGGAAATTGGAAAGAAAAATTTTGGACAGAGGGAATAATATTTTAAAACAATACCTTAAAATTAATTTATTGATATTTACTACTATTTCCGTCGCATAAAGATGTTCTCATTTTGAATATTAAGAAATTTAAAAGATGAATATTTTTGTGTTGACTTTCCTATAATGCCTTTGAAGTGATGGTAGATTATTAGTAAAAGGTATGATATGATTGATAGGTTTAAGATTAGTAAGAGTAAAAGTATTTTTTATTAGAAATAAAAAGTACTCCCTTCGTCCCGTTTTAAATCGCCTGTTTTGACTTTTGGGCATATTTAAGGAAAAGGAAAAATAGAGTTGATTTTTTGAAATTGTCAGTATTTTTTAGGAGGTATGACGATGAATGAGAAGATAAAGTGGAGAAGAGTGACTTAATTTTAGAGGTAGTTTAGGTATTTTATTTTTAAAAGTTTACGAAAACAACTAACAGACAACTTATTTTGGGACGAAGAAAAAAGGCAAACAGGCAATTTAAAATGGGAGGAAGGGAGTATTTTTTAGTACAAGAAAAAATAGAAAAGGAAAAAGTTTTTAAGACAAAAAAAGTATCGGTATTCAAATTGTTCAAAATATTTTTTCAATAATTTATAATCAAAATTAAAAAAAAAAGTTGACTATGAAAAAAAATTGGGTAGAATAAAGTAGAGAGAGGGACGTGGAAATAATTTCGTCTCATCTGCATCAATGAGCTACTAGCTGGTTCTGAACGTCGTAAACTCCGTCCTGCGCAGCGATCTTCATCTGCACCGTCTGCGACCCCGCCGGCACCAAACGCTTCAAACCTAACCGGTAAATTTGCTGTCCGAAGATCTCAAATGGCGGCGTGTAAGTGCTCATTGCGCTCCATCATTTCCATCCACAATTTGTTTTACATTACAATTAAGTCCGATAAATCTCCAATTCGAGCTCGTTTAAATAAGAAGTCGGAATAAATTTCGAGCTGTTTTAATTAAATGTTCTCTACTAAGTTCCAGTTAATGTTATTATGATAATTGAATTGTAATTAAGTCTTGAATTCTACTGATTTTGCTCTTTCTCTCCACCAGGTAGTTTAGGGGCTTCAAGTCTTAAGATAAGAAACCTGGATTTCGGTTTTGGAGGGTCCAAATTGAACAGATTGCCTGGAATCAAAACTAAGTCATTGATTGGATTTGGTGGTCTCGTAACAGCCCCAAATGCAAAGAAATCATTGCTCAGATGGGGGTGTTTTGCTTCTAATGCTCAATGTAAGTAATTGTTTTTGTTTGATTTGCTATTTTTGTCTGGAATTTAGTTTACTGGCAGCATAGGGTGTGAATTGAAACCAGATTAGTGGCTTTTCTTACATGGATTCGGAACTGTCTGATTAGGGGCTGCCGGTGCCACAAGTCGGATCTCAATTGGACGGTTCCGAGTAAAACAACATTTACATCAAATTCAGGTTCTGTTTGGCTGGAATGGCTGAATGTGCTAATTCTTTAAAAAAAAAAGGAAAAACAGTTGGTGATGCCCATTTTAACCTATGTAGCATTTGACTTGCTTATTTTACTGAAATTGTTGTTACCAAATGAAAATGATGTGGTGACTTGTCACTTCAGTACACTTAATCTACGTGTACATTAAGCAGGCAACACTGATGTGTATTGTCGGGTCACTCCTATTGGGGTATAAGATTAATCATATTTCATTAGTTCACCAGACATCTGGCAATGTAGTAAAGTTTCAGCTGGGAGGTGAATCCCACTAGTGTAGCATAATGCATATCTTCAAGATCACATTGATTTCATAGCCTTAGTTTTCGTTAGACAAGCCTCGTTGTTTGCTATCATGCTATATGAATTGTGGCTTTCAAGTTTCAAGTGCATTGTACAAACACTATGTTAGGCAAACAAATCCACAATGTCTCTAAGAGCATCTCCAAGACCCCTCTCTGTTTTGGGAAGCATAATGTTTAAAATAATGAGTTTTTAAGGGATCTGTATAAAATAGAGAGAAATTTATTCAAGTTCAAACACTACTCTTTAACAGTATTTTAGTTATCATGTTTTAAAATTATAGATAGAGGTCTATTTATAAATGCCTGCACTTTTAATGTAAAGAGCGGCTAAGACTCTCCCGTCTCAACAATTGGAGAGTCATACCTAAGACATAAAAAAGTACTATAAAGAGTCCTTTGAAGACAAAAAAAATGATTTACCTCTATAAAGTAAAAAATTGAAGCTTTTGATGAGCCCTTTGGAGATGTTCAAGTTCAAAAGCTAGCTGGTCTAAATATCAATGTTTGCAAAAAGTATAGTATGAATCAACTTAGGTGTAAGGATTACACAATGAGACAGAAGATTAAGTTTAAAATATGAATTGAATTATAAATGAAAAGCTCATGGTGATTGTTTGTAAAACTACTCAAAGAAGAATTTGATATAACTTCGATATGATCAAATAAGCTTCTATAACCAAAAGGAGCTTATTTAAAAAGCTCTCTTTAAAAGGAGCCAATAACTAGGTTATGGTGTATGCGCACAGTGTACCAAACATAGCTTAAAGAATGATGGGATGCTATAAGATGTCTCATTTTGGTTTTGTTTGAACACAGCTAGTCCAAGGTTAGATGAAAGTCTACAGAAGTTTATTCTATCTGATGCAGCAAGTGCACCAATTCAAATTTCAGATGAGGTAAGCATTCTTGTTTTGCTCACTGTACACTTACTGAGCGGAGTCTTCCTCTTTTGTCAATAGTCTTATATGATTGTCCTGTCTTAGAGGACAAATACTCCATCAGGTCCTAAATAGTCGACTTTTTAAAATCCTAACTTAGTTAATTAGAAGCTTTTCAGTTTATCATTTCTCATCCATCTATGCTGCCTAACTTATAAACTGATATATAATGTAATGATACGCACCATATAATACAATTAAGACACTTATTTTCTAAAATTAAGTTCTTAAAGAAAAAGGTCAACTATGCCTTATAAAAAGGACCAGCGGTAGTATGTGAAAATTAGTCACTCATAAATTGCAACTTTTAAGAGAAACTGCCTCATGGCCCTAATCTCTATACTCCATATTTTTTGTTTTTAAAAAGTCAAAACAAAAGCAAATTTTGAAAGTTATAGAAAACATGAATTTCTATTTTCAAAAACATGTTTCGATTTTCAACTATGTTTACAAAACACTTAAAAGTTTTATGAGAATTATATATTTTCAACATAAATAATACTCCCTCTCAGTTCATCTCATAGAAATAGTCATGCTTCAAAGCTTATTTTTACCCCAAAAGGGAGTCCTTTTCCAATGATGAAGCTAATTTTCATACTGGGGTATTATTTAATATTTTTAATTATAAAAAATTTCTCAAACAAGTTTAGTGTTATTGGGGATGGCAACGGGGTCAGATCGGATTGACACCAACCTATTTCCAATTTGGATCGAATTCAGATTCGGAATAATCCATTTACCATTTTTATGCAAAGCTCACTTCATAGAAAATACTTGAAAGGGGTTGATTCCTGATTCGCAGGTAAGACAAGCTTATAAGAAATCATTCATCTACTCATTAAGAAGATGCTTGTTTCATTGTTTCAGAACATCTCTTAGCAGCGCTCCATTTTGATCTGTAACAGCTTTGTTTTAGCTTTGTCGGAAACTATAGCATTTGTAACAGCTTTATTTTAGAGTTGTCAGAAACTATAGTGCTTCTCTAACAATAACCCTCCCCAAGATTATATCTTGAATTTTTTGTTTGAAATACCATTTTATTCCTTCTCAAAAGTATCTCCAACTTTAAAGAAAATATCATGATCAGTAATTATACATCAAAGCAGCAACAATTCAAAAACACCTAAAATGCAAAATTTCTTAACAATTGTTCTAATAACCACAACAATAACAAATAGTTCAAACATATAGGGCCTACGTTCCAACAACTAAAGTGCATGAAAATATAGAGCCAAAATTGTTTGGCAACCAACTACTTAACCCATGGCCATAAACCTTTTGAGAAAATTGGTTAATGCATATCTTTTATGTACTACCTCCGTCCCGCTATATTCGTCCACTTTTGACTTTTGGAACTGTTCATCTAAGCACTTTGACTCATCAAATTCTCTCAATGTGTAAACCTAAATATAGTCATGCGTGATCTTGTTTGATTTGTCTTAACATATAGATTATTAATATATAATTTCTATAATTTTTTAACATACAAATTACAAGATAAAATGGATTAAAGAAGTGTATTGGATGGTGTGCAAAAATGAAAGTGGACAAATATAGTGGGACGGAGGGAGTAATTAGTAACAAGTGTCACACTGTCACCAATCATTCATTGATTCCATGAAATTCAAACACATAGCCTTCACCACAAATACAAAGAAACTAAATTGTCTTCAGTGTCATCACAATATTTGCCTAACTTAAAAATCATATTTCTTGACATTGTCTTTATGATGTTATGCCCCACCACACCAACTAGATATTTGCGTAGAAAATATGAGGCGGATCAAGCTTTAATTGGATTGAGCTGACCTAGATCTGGATTTGAATCCAATTTAGTTCGGATCCAAAATCTGATCAGATTATTTTTTGGGTTTGAATCACATAATTTTGCTTTAGATCAGATCAGATCTGTATCGAACTCAGACTATACTACCATTCTTAAGTGTGTTACAATTAGTTAAAATAACAAATAAATTTTAAAATAAAGTTATATTTGAATTTGATGATTCTATATCTGTATAGCATTTCATAGCAAGGGATTTTTCTTATATATTCCTCGATTCTAAGATATTACATATGTGGTCTTCGATATTTGAGAACTATTTCATAATTAGTCCTTTAAGGACTACAACAACAACAGCCTAGTTGAATCCCATATGGGTAGGGTCTGCGGAGGGTGTGTGTATGCAGACCTTACCCTTCACGAAAGTAGAGAGGAGAGGCTATTTTCAAAAAGACCCATGGCTCGAGTACCACTGGTAATCACGTACGGTCGTACGCAGACTGACCGTTATGTATAAAACATAGAGCAGTTGTTTCAAGACGATCCATGGTGGGCGTTGAAAGTTACATTGGCTAATTGCTACTTCACTATATGTGGACTTTATGTGGAAAATGATATTTGAGTCATTTAACTCAAAGGACTGATTTTGGAATGATTCTCAAATATAGAGGACCACAAGTGTAATATCTTAGAATTGGGGACCATATATGATAAACCCTCTGTTATGAAGGACCATTTATGGAATTTACTCATTGTATATCCATTGCCAATGGAGCTAAAAGAGTCGTAATAGACAATGTTGTAGCTTCAGTAAATAATGGATTAAATCAAAATGGTCCATTAAACTTCATTTGCTTCTTACTTTGAATAAAGTTATGGATAATAAATGCAACAATGCATCAATGGTGTAATGGAAAGAGTCTCTCTCTGTTAGACAGGGGCAGGACTGCATATATCCTGAACAGAGACCCAAATGGTATACTGGGTTGTTTTATTTGATGAATTTGACTTGTTGTACTTTACTAAATTAAGGCTTACCTTTGTGAAAGAGAACTCTTTATACGGGACCGATCGAGTACGAGAATAGATCTGCCACATGTTTTAGATTTTAGAATTTTGATAACACAACAAAAGAAAACAAACGAAAAAGTAAAAGCATAAAATATAAAAAAATGTGAAATGTTGCCAAACAAACCCTTTGTTTAGCTGTAAACCTTAACTAAGTGACTCTTAATTTAAAAGTCATTATCCATCACTGTCATGTTGAATTTCTTTTTGTATACATTTGAGGCAAGGTCTGCTGGATTGTCAGACCCTACTCTCGTGGGACCCTACTGGGTTGTTGTTGTTACATTCTTGTTGTTGGGATCTTCAATAAGTTTGACTGAAGACAAGTGGAGAGGCAATCAATTTCAAGTAAATGGCAATTCTCGCCTTTTGCATAAATAATATTGTTTAGTTCTCCTGTCCTTATTTTACAGGTTGAATCGTTCCTCACGGAATTATGTGATACAACCACAATAGCAGAAGTTGAATTAAAAGTGAGCATGGCTAACTCTTAGTATTTTTAATTATACTTTGCTATGCATTGCCTCTTTGTTGCCTGTGCCCATGTGTAGCATCACACATCTTATTTTTGTAATGCTTAGGTTGGGGATTTCAAGTTATATGTGATGAGGAACTTAAAAAGTCAACCATCAACTTCCCTTCCCCCACCAATTCCTGCTCCTGAAGATGGTTCTACAGCAGTTGAGTTGGCTAATTCAAATGGGTCAGCCCCATCACCATGTCTATCCATTGTTAAAGTGGAATCATCAGATGAGGTTGGCACTTCGCTTGTTAAAGCTGCCGATGAAGGGTTAGTGATCATCCGATCCCCAAAGGTGAGAATTCGTTACTCCTCCAGTGTGTCTAGACACACACACACACTTCATACATGTGTGTTTATAATACAATAATCCAGATTTTAAATTGAGCTCAACTCACCCAGAAGGATAATTTAGAGTTGATATTTACTCACACTTATATGTTAAGCTCCAACCAGTGTGAGATACCGAACACCGATAATGCCGCTTCTGGACATTCCTTGTACTGAATTTTTTCATTGATGCACAGGTTGGCATTTTTAAGCGATCTAGGACTATCAGGGGAAGACTTACTCGTCCATCTTGTCAAGAGGTATCCCCCTCCATTGTTCAAGGATTTATGCTATTAAAATGGTAGTTTAAATCAAATTACATTGTATGTACATGGTAGTCTAATTATGCTTTGATGTAATGTTATTTCAAGAATTCTATATCAAATTGGCTTAGATATGTAATAGTTGAAACTGCATAAAAAATGGAGTGCCACTGTTTTAGGAAGAATTGTATATTAAATAATCAGTTAGATCAATTTGGCATTTTTTCCAATTGTTGTAGAAGTATGCACGCATGCATGTCTGTTCACAAGGAAAAAGGTATTGGAAGATAATGCCAAAAGAGTAATAAAAAAATAATTAGATGATGAAATCTATAACCAAGATGAAAGTAAACTCCTTTTACTTTAGTTTGTAAGTCATAATTCAGGGCCCATGGTTACCCATCTGTTAGCTAAGGCTCATAGTTCTATGTCTGATGTAGCGGAATGAGATATTACCCTTCCACATTTTATATGTGATGCTTTGAATTTCAGACCCCAATAATACATAGGCTGTAGCCTCATTTCAAAATAAATATATAGATTAAAGAAAATAATGAAAGAAAGAAGATATAGTTAACCAATGAATAACAACTACCACGGGCAAATGGTAAATTGGGATAATTGGAGTAATTTTTATGCATATCTGTTGTAGGACAAACATGATCTTCACTCTTTTTTATGTCATATACTCTCTAGCCTCTATAATCCCTGCTAGAAACATTGCATGATTTTAGTCTGCCCTCTCAAGGTTTCAGCTCCCGCTACCAAGTGTATAACCTTAGTTACCACATTTTTAACAGAAACAACAAGTGAAGGAGGGCCAAATAATATGCTATATTGACCAAGCTAGTTGGGAGGTTCCTGTTGAGGTTTGGATTTAAAAAAAAAATACTCCGCAATTCTTGTTGAGTTGTATTACTTTTAGGACTTTTGATACACTGTGTTGTGTCCTTCAACTAATTCATCTGTTTCTTTTCTGTCTCGCGTTTTTCTTTTTTTCAGTGTACTGTGGCAGGAGAGGTTACAAAAATACTGTTAAAAGATGGAGGTATGTTATATAGTCATTTGATATAGGCAAATTTTATCTTGCATTTTTGCAAGAGGTTGCTTCTAGGCTGCCTTTTTGTTATTTGATAATCAATATATTTTACTAGGTTAGTTGTTGACTTGTTGTTGCTTGACGGCATTTGTGATGATGCCTCATTGTGTACACCATGTATAGGAATTCACATATATACTTTGGGTCTGGTTCTATGGCCACTTTGTTTGAGTGGCCACGGAGGACACTGGACACCTACGGTGCTCTGTTTGCAAAATCGATAGTTCCTATCCCACCGCCCCCCGAACCCCCCCCCCCACCCATGCAATTGCGGGGTAAAAGTTTAGATGATTTTGGGTCAAAATTTTAAACCAAAGTCAACTAAATTTGCATCCCGCAATTGACATGGGTAGGGGGTGGGTAGGGGTCGGGACTGGGTGAGGGGGTTAACCGGGGGTAGAAACTATCAATTTTGCGAACGGAACACTCTAGATGTCCAAATTAGGACAGTATACTCCGTGGCCACTAAAAGAGAGTGACCATGGAACCGGAGTGTTAAACTTTTACGCAAATTTTCTTTGAGAAACATCTCTACCTTTTATAGGTAGGGGTAAATCGCGTACAACCATCCGTCCCAAACCCCATTTGTGGGACTTTACTGTGACCTAATTTTACATGGATTTGTATGTAATATCATGACATATATCCGTTACTTTCTGATCCATTTTTTTTTACTAATTTTGGATGAACAGATTTTGTTGCATATGGTGATCCCATCATGGAGATCCTTCCTTCTTTCCATGGCATTTGAACAATTGTGATTGTAGAAGAAAGCTGTGTATGTGTGGACTACAAGTGTTCAGGCATGAAGTTTCTAATGGCCCAAACCAAAAAAGGATACAGTTCCTATGTGTGAAATATGAATTCTTGCTGCTTTTCCCCAGATTTTGACTTATGTTGCCTACTCATAACATGTATTTTATTTGTGTTCCAATGTTTCTCATTGGGTTTATGATGACACCCTAGTTTAACATTTTTCTTCAATGTGGAATGCGTTTGCACGTTTTATGTTCTTTCATATATACCGTCTAGCCGGATCTGAGCGGGCCTTTGGGGATGGGCTAATCCTTTAAGGCTGTAATATTCTTTCATATAGCAACTTGTACCCCACTTTATTTGTTCTCAAAACTAAATTCACAAAACTTTGATTGATTGATTTTTTTTAAAGTTCATATCATTCAAATAATGGTTTAAGATTTTTATATATTTAAAAATTACGTTAAATATCATACTCCCTCCATTCCCAGAGGTATTGTCAAAGTTATTACTCTTGCTTTTTGATAATTTTTTTGTTTGTATATTTCTGTTGATCATTTGACAAAACAAAATTTTATTGTTACCTTTTGCTTAAAATAAAGTGAATGGAATTTGACCTTGTAAATAGTAAACAGTAAACAGATAATTTAATTTGAGACGAGGTAGTACAACGTAAATGATGACAAGAATATTTTATTTTATTAAATGACCAATGAAGAAGCACATGCAAACAAAAGTTATCGGAAGCGCGGAATAGCAAACAAGAAAAGTTTTTTGAAACGGAGAAGATAAGTTTTTTTATGTATTGTTTAAACATATAATGTTGCATTTTATATTTATATCAATTTGGAGTTATTCTACGGTGGACCTAAGATGAACATAGACCTTCTGTATGGTTTAAACATAGTTATAAATAGTTATCTAGCATATATGAATATCTACAATAGACCTTAGGTGCATGTAATAATTTGTCATCAGTTTATAAGTAAAATAGTTTAAAAATATAAAATGTTAAAACAAAAATTAATGGTTATGATTAATGTGTATAAATGGGCTATACTATTGGTGTACTCAATGCTAATCGTGTATCCCTGGCAAGACCTTTTTCTTAATACTCCATTCGTCCCTAAATGGATTACAATTTTTTTTTCTATCCTCTCGATAACTTTTGTTTGTTTACACGATTCCGTTAGGTATTTGATAAAATAAAATATTCTTGTTACCTCTTGTTTTGTAGAACTTTTGACGTAGTTTTTTTATATGTAATTTTTATATCTTATTGATATACCAATTTGTAAATAAAATGATTTTAAAAAGTAGAAAATTTCACTCCGTAACCCGCAATTTGTAATTAAATTGGGGACGGAAAGAGTAGTTAATACTCCGTATCAAAATATAAGATTAATTTTAAATGAACACAAAAAAATACGGAGTAGATTATTTGAGATGATTTTTCTCAAAAACTATGTAGGCTCCTAAAATTCAATTGGAATTTTGGACAGTGCAGGTAAAGTGGGTAAAAAAAAGCGGGGATCATCACGCGAATACGCGATTTCGACGAAATTCATCTGGACAAAATAGGATCACTGTTGCATTTTGTCGAACATTTGGAACTCCCGTCTTCTGGCGATTTGAATTTCCCGGCGAAAAGGCACGTCGGAAAGACCATTCATCGCCGGAGTCACCCGGATTAACGCCACGCACAACAATCACATTCCCTCTCTCTACTTCGTTTCAGAATCCTAGAAACGATGAGCCGTATAGATCGGCACACCGGCGGCCCCAAATACCAGAATTCCGTCCGTGAAATCGGAGCCAACTCCGATGAAGGAACTGAATCTCCCAACAGCAACTCGAGATCGTATGAAATTAATGCGAATTCTGCAATGAATCGCCAGCTTACAGTCCACCATTCCAGTTTCGGAACGCGATCCCACGCGCGCGAACGGTGCTATCTATTCACGAAGGGAAGATTTGCATACGGTGAGCGATGTCGCTACGCGCACGTCGTCGGAAATATCGGAGAATCCGGAGCCGGTAATGTCCGCCTGAACCCGATTCAGAGGAGTGGCGAGAGAATCAATCTCTGCCAATATTTTGTTGGTGGTAGACATTGTCCGTACGGTGACAATTGCCGGTTCCTACATGAATACGCCGGTGAAAATAGATGCAATCCCGGCTCCGGCGTGCACAGGGAAAGCTCCGCCATATACATCGCAACTAGCTATGGCGACGAATCTAAGATCCTTCAAAGTCAGAGTTCAAATTCACCTCATGGAAATGCAGGTAAATGTTCAAGTTGGCCTAATAATGCCTATAACTCTTTTGATTTGAAGGATTTCTGAAACTAGTGTTTGTTGATCTTCGATAGATCTGCCAAGGTTTGGCAAGCTGAATTCATCTAAAATTTCTTCAACCTTCAAGACTGGATTTGGGGTTCATCAGAAACTGCAACAACACAAGAAAGGGTGTCTGTTCAAGCGGGCCGATATCAAGAAGATCAGTGAAGTGTATGCTGACTGGATTGACAATCTGCATGCTCTTCCTGTTTCATCAACCAAAGATGGTAAATAATGCCCGTTTGGCAATGCGTCATTCGGCTGAAATGGATCCGAACTGAATTTTTTCAGTTCGTTAGTTTCCATTTCAGCTGAATAAGCAAGCCAAACGGTGCTTATGATTCGTCTGATTAGCAGAATCTGGGAAATTGTCTTCATTGTTTAGGTTGATATAGGTCTTGGGCTGATCAACTCATGGCTCATAGCATGTGTTGTTCTTCATTGTTTTATAGAACTCTGTATATAACCTGGGAAATCTTCAAAAATGGAAATAGCATTTGATTCCTGAAATGATACATTGTATGACTCTATCATCATGATCTTTGACAATCAATGAAATCTTCACTTTGTTATAATCATGCTCTGTTTTAACTGTCCCTTTTTTAGAGATTTATTTCTTGAGAGCATTAAACACAGTCTCAAATGTAAAACCAAACTCAAAGAAAAAGCTAAATTGATCATCTTCATTCTTCACTCACAAACTTACTTTATTTTCTTCATTATTAACCAATTCAGGATTCAAGGGCACATAAACTTCTTGTTTGGCAAAAAAATGCATATCCAAATAGGGCGAAAATATGGCTACCAAAAGGCCAATTTCTTGGACCTTAGGGGTTTGATGACTGAGATACTATTAACAAATTCCCAATTTTCTTAGAACAGATAAAGAATGTTTGAATCCAAGAACAATGAACAACAAACAATGGACACACTGCTGGGATTTCTTTACACTTTCCCAACAGATTGAGCATATCTTACAGTTGACCGCGCCAATGCGTCGAGTGGGTCAATGCATTTCTTGAGGAGGGGATCGTCCGCGGGAAGGACTTCGCGGATGTCATCAGAGGCGATGATCACAGTGTTAACGGCTCTCACAAACAGGACTTGTAATGCAATTCGGAACAGGTTTTGTGCCCCTTCTATGTCGTTTCTGCCCAGGGCTTCAACTGCAGGTATTATTGTGTGTTCTATGGTTGCCTTGTCTGGTAGTACAACCTCAAAACCCTACAAGAACAACACAAATTCAAAAAACAAAAAAAAATGTTTTTGCAGCAATTGGATTTTTTATTCATTTCTCGATTTTCCTCAAATATTTATGCACATTTAGGGGCATTTTTGAATCTTGAAAACAACCTCTCTACTTCCATGGTATGGATAAGTGTGTGTACAGGGGTATTCACTAGATTTGTTGTTGTTGTTGTGGTCAGGGGTATTCTTGTCCAAACATACCCTCATACCTGGAAGTACCAATTTATGCTTTTTTTCTAGTTTTGTGCAATTTATCTCTACTCATACTTTGTAAAGGTTAATCCTTCTTATCAACAAAATGTGATTCATTTCATGATTCAGTCTATAGTAGATTAGTAGTATTAAAAACAGGACTAGAAAAATATGCAGAAAAGTACCAAGAACAGAAAAGAAGAGTCATATCTAATTATTTACCTCAGCTTGAAGCTTTTGCTGGTAAAATCCAGCAGTAAGATCAGTATTGGTAGCAAGAACACCGATCCGAAGAGGACTACCCGCTTCAAGAGGCCTAAGCTTAGCTTCCTTAAGCTCCTTCGCCACGCACTCGCCCATATGAAGAAAAGCGACCGATGACCCATCCGCCACCCGATCATACCACGAATGCGCAATGTGGCATGGCATAGCGACACATTGGGCACCCGAGCCCTCGAGAAATGCCCGTTTCCTCCTCAACCATTCCACGATCGAACGGTCGTCCGTTTGCGGGTTCGGGCACTTGCCCGAAAGGAAAGGGATCGAGCTCCTTTCGTAGGACGAGATGTTCTTACTTAGCAATGGATCACAACACATCACAAAGGGCACCCCGTCCTCCTCCCCGTCATCCGACCCGCACTCCGCGAGTTTCTTGACGAATCTCAGAGTCGAGTCGACCGATACCCCTCCAATGATTCCTACCAAGCTGGATCGGGCGGGCTGAAACCCGCTCGGCCCATCCGGGGGGAAACGGTTCGTGGAGTTGGTTACCATGTTGCCCGATTTCGGCACAATTGAAAAAGGTGCCATGGCAAGAACTTGATGGTATCTCAAAGTTCTAGTTCCTCTAATAACCTCAATTCTTTGCCTAATTTTACAGCCCACCACCATATTTGATGGATGGTTCAATGAATAGAAAGATATTGCCATGTTCATATATATATATCTATATATATAAAGAATAAATCTCAAAAACAAATTCAGGTTTCTTAAACCCAAATTCAGATAGAAAAGGAGAACAGAAGATGAAGATGCTGTGCCATGTACAGCCAAACACCAGACAAGAATTCAATTTCAAGAGTCAAGAATCTAAAATATCAAGTGAAAATTTAAAATAAAAAAAAACAAATTTATCAACCTTGAGGAAAAACCCAGTATCTGGATGACTGGATTTGGGGATTCAAGAATTAAAAAAATTCAAGTGAAAAAAAAACCCCAAAATTATAAACCTTGAGGAAAAAACCCAGAATTTGGATTTGGGGATTCAAGAATGGATGATGATGATGATGATCAGATGAATAAATAAATAATTGCTTAAAATGAAAACAAGAAAATATGTATTTATCACAAGAAGCAAAAAATGGGAAATGAGACAAGCAATAAGTGTGGGTGTGGGGTGTGGGGGTGAGAGAGATGGAAGGAATCTTTTTGACAACGTATAATCAGCTGTTACATTTACTGGATAAAAGGATTAATGTAATATCGGGTGGTTTCCCTCACTTGGAAAAAACACAAACATTAATTCCTCAAGTGGAATCCCAAATTCCCCACTTGGAAAATCGCATGTACTACATGCAAAAGTGTTTTTTTTTAATTTTTTTTTAAAATGTCCAACCTCAAGTTCAATTATCCACCCATTCTCATTCTCATTCTTATTCAATACTCCCTCCCTCCCAATTTATTTGCAACACTTCGAACAACGTATAAAATATCATCTCTTTTAAAATCACTTTAATTTCAAATTGGTAGAGTAATAAAAAGTAAAAATTACACCATTCAAAAGTATATGGAAAGTTCTACAAAACAAGATGCGACAAGAATATTTTATTTTATCAAATGGTCAACCAAAATGAGTAAACAAACAAAAGTTATCGAGTGGCCAGAATAGTAACTGTGGCATTCTTTCTGGGACGGAAGAAGTACAAAATTCTTACTCCCTTTGTTCTTGAAAAGTGATTCCTAGTTTGACTAAGTGTAAAAATAAAAAAGTGTCAAATTATAATTGACTTTCGATTTTGTATTTTGTGTGATAGATAAGTTAATAGAGAAAAAGTATGATGTTAAAGATGGGATGTGAAACAATAAGGATAAAAATGGTTTTTTAATAACAATAGAAGTGTTTTGTTGGAAATAGAAAAAATAAAAGAGGAAATATTTTTTAGAACGGAGGAACATTCCCTTGAATAATAACTAAGGTCATCTCCAATGGGATGCCCAAAGGAGAAGCTCAAAGGAGAGAAGAGAAGATGTTTATAGATGCCACTATTGGAGATAGATGCTTAGAGTAGGTGTTCAAAGAAGAAAGAGAGTGAGAGATGCTCAAGAGAGCACCAAATGCTAGCATTCAAAATCATGTGTGCATTCTTTTATTTTTTTTGAAAAATAAGCTTTTCTAATTCTATTCCTACTAAAACAAGAATTTTATCAAAATAGAAAAACTACCAACTCCTAAAAAATATTCTAACCGTAAATTATCACCAATCAACAATAATATTATTCATAATAGAAATAATGCAGAGTTTACAATATTATGGAAGCTTAATCAATCACAATCACAAAACATAATTCATTTATGTCTTTTAAAATAACAGTTCAAAACCTTCACATCCATCTTGACAATCTTGCCTCCATCTAAGGCTATTTTATTTGATTAACCAGACTCTTAAACTATAATTAGTTTAAGACTATTTTATTTTATTAATGAAAATCTTAAATTATAATTCGTTTAAGGCTAATAATATCCAGACTCTTAAATTATACTCCCTCCGTCCTAAAACTTTCTTCCCGTTGCGCAAAACGAAGAAAAATCCGAAGTTTTTTCAATCTATTTTATTTAAATATTGGTATAGAAATAAAAACAAGTGGTGACAAGAATATTTTATTTTATCATATAGGCCATGAAAAAACACAAATAAATATAAATTCCCGTGAAGTTGGAATATAATAGTGCTTTGGGAAGAAAGTTTTAGGACGGAGGGAGTAATTAGTTTAAGGCAGATCATTTTATCATTTATGCCCTTTGTTTTCTCCGATGTTGAATTTTTCTAATTTCAATTTCCTTTATTATACAGATATACGTAGTATAAAATAAAATATATGCTTCTCATCTCAAATTAGAATTTTCCATAATGTACTTTTGAAAACAAAAGATTTTTTTGGAGAATATAACAAAAGAAAATGAAAAATAAAATATTATGTACAAAGTAAAAATAATAATAGTTTGAAAAAGGTAATGAAAAGAAATAAAAATATAAAAATAGTCTTTTTCTTTAACTCCATATTTTATTTCATCTTTCTGTTCTTCATTTTTTAAAGTCCTTAAAAATTATTTTACTTTTAAAAAACAAATAAGTTAAAATTTTTAATTAAAGATAGAGTGAGTATATGTTATCTAATTTTTATTTTATTTATTTTACTTTTACTTATAATGAAAAAGTGTATTTTTGAAAATTAAATAAATGAAAAATTTTAATTTGAGAAAGAGGGCGTATATTTTATTTTATTTATTTGTATAACAAAAAATGTAAAGAAAGGAGTGAAATTTGAAGATAGAGAAAAACCAAGGGCAGAAATGTCATTTCATGTCTAAAATAGGAAAGAATGGGTGTCTGTGCACTATTTAAAAACCACGGGAGTTTTACAAATAACTTTTGAAAGTATAGAGAGTTTTGGCGCTCTTTTTGAAAACCACGAGAGACACCCATGTTATTACCGCATTATATATAGTAGTCTTTGTAGTTCAGTTTAGCTTCCTATTCCTAATTATGGTAGTTATAGTATTTTACTTCCTCCGTCCCAATTTAAATCACCTGTTTTGACTTTTAGGCATATTTAAGAAAAATAAAAATAGAGTTAATTTTTCGAAATTGAGATTACTTTTTAGAAAGGATGATGATGAATGAGAAGATAAGGTGAAGAAGAGTGACTTATTTTAAGGGTAATTTAGGTATTTTATTTTTAAAAGTTTACAAAAATAACTAACATGCAATTTATTTTGGAACGGAGAAAAAAGGCAAACATGCAATTTAAAATGAGACAGAGGGAGTAGTAAGTTTTCATTTCTTATTTTTAATTGTCTTAGGAAGATAGTTGCCCATCAAGTACAAAATAAAATTTTAAAAAAAATTGCATGTGTTACATGCGAAATGGGTTTAAAAAGGATTTGCATGTTCTACATGCGAAAGTGGAGTTGAGGAAATTACATTCCAACTTTTTCCCACTGAGGGAATTCCTCCTGTAATATCTGGAACAAGTAACTATAAGACAAAAATCCTTTGCTCTTTAATGAAGATCATTTTCTGGATAACCTTAACCTCTTAACCACGTTTTCACATTTTACCCAACCTTTTTCTAGGTTCCATAACTGGACATTTGATATTATAAATCCCGTTATTTATGTTGGTAATTTTAGTGTCATCAATTTATTTTGTGTAATTAGATTTACTTCGACCGGACAAGAATTTAAATAGACGTTGTCAAACGAGTTAGGAGGCGCGGAGTGCGCGCTCGTTCAATGATATTATGAATTCACTGCAGGGGTCCGGGGGCGGCAGCCCCCGGGTAGTGGGGTCCAAGGGGCGGCAGTCCCTTGCGGGGTCCAAGGGGCAGAGCAATGGATTTTCGTGACCGGAGTCCAAAACGGTAAAGGACTCGTACACAATGGATAAACGTCGAAATTGAGCCTTAAACCGCAGGAGACCTTTCGTTCAAAACTTGCACCTTTCTTCTTCTTGCGCGAATGTACGCGTACATCTACGCGAACGTTCATGTCCGATCACAAGGATTTTCGACTCTATAAAATAGAGTCTCGTGGTATGGGTTGAGTGACCGATTCTTGAGTGCTCATTCTTGATAACGTCTTATCCGATTGAAGTATTTCGTATACCCCGAAATAACTTTGATCTGAAAGCGTTTCGTATGCGATTCGTTATACTATCAAGTTCTTCGTTAAACACTGCTTCGCAGTGTTCTTCCTTATTTTATTCCAACAATTTAGGGTACACGGTTTCATTGACACTGGCCAACGATGCCACTGCATTTTTGGAGATCTCCGGTGCTCCATTCGTAAATATGATGATTCCTACTCCTAACTCACCTCCTAAACCCCGTTGTCCCACACTCCAGTCCACTCTAAGCCCCCTCCAAATGTGTGGCTATTATGCATTGCACAATAACACATATTTGGAGGGAGTTAAAAGTGGGTCTAGGGTGAGCGGTACAGAGGTCGGGCTGGGGTCCGGTGCGGTGGAGGGTCTAGGGAGGGGGTGAGCTTATACACTTACTTTTTCTTCAAACTTGCTTCTGATGTGGGAATGTGGGATACATGAACATTTCATATTATCATTTTTTTTCTTGATTATATATACTTCATCTGTCTTGAAATAAAATTTCAAAGTACACCAGATAAGATTATTAATAAATATGAAAATGTATAATTGATTTTTGAATAGGAAAAATAGGAAACTTTTTTCTAGCAAATGAAAAGCAAGGTATAAAACTGTTTATGAGACAAAAGAATCACTCTTTTCATTGTATATTTAAGTTCTTTTCATTGTATATTTAAGTTACTTCTTTACGAAGTCTTAGTAAAATGAAATTATGCAATCAAAATTTGTAAGCCATAACTACTCCCATCTAGAACATTTGTCTAATTTTAAATTTTTGTAATTAAAATTAATAAATTTTGACCATAACTTAGATAAAATTTATGTTAAATATTAATGCAAAAACAATTTTATTAGATTTAAGTTGTAATATATTTTTAAAATATTATTTTATTTAATTATAAAATTTTTATTTAATTATATGTCAAAGATGGATTCCGATTAACTCTAAATCAAACAAGTACTCTGAGACGAAAGAAAGTTATTGTGAGGTTTGTGAATTGTGATTGTCAACAAGGTGCATGTTAAGATGTTGGACAAGAGGACATGAGTAGTGGGCCATTAGCGTACAAATTCTTGGCCTATTTCAAAGTGTGGGCATACAGATTGTGCCCTTTGCCAGCAAGAAGACTGGGCCTTTCTAGTCTCTACTCTCTCCCAACTTGGCTTGTAAATGCATTATTTTGTATTTCATACAATAAATAAATAAATAAAATAATCAAAATCATCTAAAATAATTTTAGTATTTTCTTATGTGTTCTTGGTACATACTCTTTACGGTCCGATGGATTCTCCTAATTAAAAGTCATGGAAAATAATTTTATTCATACCCGTTTAAAAATATATTTGTTGTGTAAGTAAGAAATATATGTGTATTAATCTAATTATTTCTCAATACCAAACTAATTGGCACATTTTGGATTTACATAGCTTAAAAAATATAGAAATGTACATAGTGAACGATTAAAATTTACTCCGGGTAATAAAAAACAAAGAAAATAGGTAGAACATATTTTCTTTACTTTATTAAGAAAGTATAGAAATGTGACACTTTTGTGGACAAATTAAAATGAAAGTGACACGATTTACTCAGAACATGAATACATGAACAATAACAATATTATGTGAAAATCAAATCGATAAAAAGTCGTCCAAAGTCGAAATGATGTTGATGGCAATGAGACAATCATGCTAAACATAAAGTATGATTGTCACTAATTTTGATAGAATTTAAGATGTGATAAAGATCACTAGATTGGGCCATAAGATACTTGAACTGAATCACATTAAAAAATTAAATCCAATCAATTACGTACTTCAACTCAATAATTTATATACCGATTATTTTTTATCCAACTTCCGATGTGAGATAGACTATAACAAATTTCAGCATGTAATAGAAATTCCGTCACTAATTCCGTTCAAATTTGTTGACGGATGATTCGTCACTAAGAGGTTTTGTGGCGGATGAGCTTTCTGACATCTCTTCTCATTGAGAAGAGAGCAGAAAGAAGAGCAAGAAACATTGATGGGAGTATTAATGTCTCATCTCCTCTAATTGCAAAGGCTGTTTCTCTCTTCACACCCCGTATGATGATTAGCACCAAACCAAAGAGGCTAATCCTACCTGATGATCTTCTCTTTATTAATCCCAAAATTGCCCCTGCAACACACATGTAACTCCCTACTAATACCTGGTTTGGATACCAAAAAAACAGGTTATAGATTAACAATCACTATGTGTGATATATACATACTCTGTACAATTTCTCTATTTACTTCCTCCGTCCCTAAAAGATATTTCTCTTTCGTTTGCTTGTTATCCCCAAAAGATGTTTCCTTATCTATTAAAAAAACCATTTTTACCCCTTACTTTTTCATACCATATCTATCATATCATACTTTTTTACTAATAATCTATCCATCACATCTTACTTTTACCCATCACATCAAGGGTATTTTTGGAAAGTCAATGCAAAAATATCTTTCCCTTAATTTTTCGAAAAGTCAATAAGGGAAACTCTTTCTGGGACGGAGGAAGTAACTTATAAGCTTTGATAAATTAAAAATTAATAAACTATGATATTCTTCTTAAGATAAGAGAGTAGAATGAAAAGCCAAAATAAAATAAAATTACCTCAAGGTGATTGAGACTGAACCTTGTAGCTGTTTGTTTATGTGTTCCAAAGAAGTTATAGAAAAGGAGAAGATTATCATAGCTTGGGAAGGGCTTATTGTTGAGAAGAGCTTTTGCAATGGCTCCTGGATAGAGCAGTGGCTTTATCACAGTTGCAGGAAGCACTTCACTTGCAAATAGTTGGTATGTTGTCACCTCTATAGGTGTTCTACAAATGCCAATTCTGCATTTTAATCTGCATGTCAAATGAATCCACAACTTTCAACTTTTACATTTACTACTACAGAAAAAGCACTGGGTATTTGTCAGCATAGAATTACGTACGGGATTCCATCAGAAAACTAATTGTCGTTAGACAAAGTAACTCATATATATTCCTATGTATTAGTGTTTTTAAACTTGAGTGTTTGATATGAGATTAAGTTTTCAATAGTCGGGAGTTTGTGTTATGGCTCACATCGTTCTTGACAAAAGGTGACATTTTTTGAGTTAAAGATCACACCAATATTGTCACGAAATGTGAAATAGATTGCTCACAATTCAGGAGGAAAATATATATTACCACTAAATTGTAAACATTGGCCATTGGCGGGGAATTCAAGCCCTTGAGAAGTCCGTCGCAAACATTGTCACGGGTTCTAGAATTTCGTGACAAAATTTGTGATCATGTCGTTTTAGTGATGAGCCGTTAATCTATGAAAAATATGTGCAATTCATGTTTTAGCCTTATAAACCTAGAATTTAAAAAAAAATATAGAGACACATGTTTACATTTATCTAACTTTTGATGTGTCAAAAAAAATACTATTGTAATAGTCAACTAAATATGAATGGACTGAGTACATTTGAATAAATATAAGATCTACATTCACTCAATTTTTATTATAATGTATCATAAGAGTTAGTCATAATCGTCAATTAAACGTGAATAACTATGTATGTTAAAAGGTAAGGAAAAAGATGAACAGATTAATTACCTGAAAAGAGGAACCTGCAAAATGATGACGAGAAAATAAACCAGAGATGCAAATTGAGATACGAATTTTGCCCATTTCTTGGACGACGATGAAGCCATGCCCAAAAGAATTAATTAATTATTAACGTTGATCTCAAATCTCAATCATAAAAGGGGACAATTGCTAATGAAATCTGAAAATGGATTTTGTATCTTTGTTCGTTGGTAATCTCTGATTAAAAGTTGGTCAAATAGTTCTAGTATATATTCTCGTGTTTTAGAAAATGAGCACTAAAATTCTATACTTCTTTCAAAATTTATTTCTAAAATATTTGTAGTTTTTAAAAGCTGTGTGTATTCCCCCTCCGCCGATGATTTTCTGGATAAAGAGGACATTGGTGCCCAATTTTTAAACTACAAGGAGCGTTAAAGCTATGGATCCAGTTCTTAATGACAAAAATACCCTTCATTTCATTTTTTTTCTTTTTCAATATTTTTTGTTCTTCTTTTCTTTTATTTCCTTTTTCTTTTCTTTTTTCAATCTTTTTTATTGGTCTTTTCTTTTATTTCGTTTTTTCAATCCTTTTTCTTCTTTTCTTCTCTTTTACGGAGTATTTCATTTTTCTATTGTTCATTTTATTTTTTAAATGTTCTAAAAAAATATTCTGTTTTGTTATGAAAATTAATGAAATGGGACCGGAGAAGTATTTCGTTTCTTTTCATTTGTTTTTGAAAAATATAAAGAAAAAGGAATAAAAAAATTAAATCTTTGCCAGAAAATGAGAGGCGTAAATATTAACATGGGCAAACTAATGCCAAGTACTCTGTATTACATTTTCAGAAATAGTAAACTTTTAATTGTGCAATTACCCTACATTTTCGATCATAATTTAAAGTCCATGTTAATATTTACTCCTACCATCCAATAAATTTTTTCTTTGTTTGCCCTTATATCTAATATAATGAGATAATAAAATTGAGAAGAACGAAGTAATGAGTTAGGACCATTCTAATGAGATAAATCAAATGAATTTTAAAAAATAAGTTTTGAAACAAAAAAGAAGTAATGAGTTAGGACCATTCTAATGAGATAAATCAAATGAATTTTAAAAAATAAGTTTTGAAACAAAAAAGAAGTTTGATGTCAATTTTTAAATCACGGGAGATGCTGGAACAATTTGGTCGGACATCAAAAGTTACACAAACTAATGTCAAATACTCAAGATTACATTTTCAGAAACAGTAAACTTTTAATTATGCAATTAACCTTCTCTAGGGGTCATGATTTAAAGCCCAAGTTAATATCTACTCCTCCTATCTAATAAATACTCCATCCGTTCTCAAAAACACTTCCTCTTTCATTTTTTTTCACTTCCAACAAAACACTTCCCCTTTCTATTAAAAAACCACTTTTACCCTTACTTTTTCATACCCTACCTATCACATCATACTTTTTCTCTAATAATACATCCATCACATCTTACTTTTACCCATCACATCAGGGACAAAATTGGAAGTCAACTATAATTTTACACTTTCTTAATTTGCCTTATTTTCAAAGTGGGAAGGATTTTCCCAAACGGAGGGAGTATTTTTCATTGTTTTCCCTTATATCTATTTGTATGAGATAATTAGATTGAGATGAATTAAAGAAGTGGTGTGTACAAAAACTAGTGTCAAATACTCCGTATAACATTTTGAGAAATATTAAACTTTTAATTATTCAGTTAATTTGCATTATCTGTCATAATTAAAAGCCATGTTAATATAAACCCCTCCTATCCAATAAATTTTTTTCTTTGTATGCCCTTATAACTATTCTAATGAGATAATTAGATTATTAGATTGAGAAAAAAGAAGTGATGTGTTGGTGGTCATAGTAATGAGATAAATCATATTAATATTAAAAAGTAGTAGTTTTGAAACAAAATGGGGTTTTGATGTCCAATTTTTTTAGCTATAGGGGTTGCTGAGGCAATTTGGTCGGCCATTAAAAAGTACACGTACTAATGCCAAATGCTCCTTATTACTCCCTCCGTCAGAAATGTTCTTCCCGTGTTGACTTGGCACGCTTATTAAGGAATAGTAAAAAAATGCAAAATTTTCAAAAATGCACATACTATAAACTTTTAAATCTCTTTTTATTATTAAAAAAGTATTAAAAAAGTAGATTTGTGATAAAATAGAAGGGTATTATTGATATTTAGCCTTAAAAAGCATACTAAAAAAGGAAATGGGAAGATTATTTTCGGATGGACTAAAAAGGAAAATGGGAAGAATATTTCCGGACGGAGGGAGTACATTTTCAGAAATACTAAAATTTCAATTATGCAATTAACCTGCATTATCCGCCATAATTTAAAGCCCACGTTAATATATTTTCCTTGCATTCAATAAATATTTTTCTTTGTTTGCCCTTATATTTATTCTAACAAGATAAATAGATAGATTTAGATGAAAGATGTATTAGATGCCATTCTAATGATGAGATAAATCACATGAATTTTAAAAATAAGTTTTAAAACAAAAGAAGAGTTTGATTCCCAATTTTAAACCATGGGGATGCTAGAGCAATTTGGCAAGCCACTAGCTAGAAGTTTCACAAACTAATATAATGCCAAATACTCCATATTACATTTTCAAAAATAGTAAATTTTTAATTATGCAATTAATCTACATTATTCATCATATTTTAAAGCCAAGTAAAAATATATTCCCACCATCCAATAAAAAAGTTTCTTTGTTTGTCCTTCTACCTATTCTAATGAGATAATTAGATTGATAAGAAAGAAGTGATGTGTTGAATGGCATTCTAATAATGAGATAAATCATATTAATTTCAAAAAAAGTTTTGAAACAAAATGAGATCGATTTTGATACCCAACTTTTAAACTACTAAGGATGCTCGAAGTACCGTCCGATAAATATTCTTCTCTGTTTGCCCCTATACACACACACACACACACACACACATATATATATATATATTCTAATGAGATAATTAGCTTGAGATGAAAGAAGTAATGTGTTGGAGGCCATTCTAATGGTATAAATTAAACTACAAGAATTATTAAAATAAGTTTTGAAATAAAAGTGAGTTTTGTTGCCCAATTTTTAAACCATGAGGAGTGCTCGAGCAATTTCGTTGGCCATTAAAAATTACACACACTAATGCCAAATAATTCATATTACATTATCGGAAATAGTAAACTTTTAATTATGCAATTAATCTATAGTATTCATCATAAAATAAAGCCCATGTTAATATATACTCCTACCATTTAAGAAATATTTTTCTTTGTTTTCCCTTAAGATAAATCATATGAATTTTAAAAACGAGTTTTGGAAAAAAGGGATTTTGATGCCCTATTTTTAAACCGCGGGGGATGTTGGAGCACTTTGGCCGGACATTAAAAGTTATACAAACTAATGCCGAATACATCGTATTACATTTTCAAAAATAGTAAAAACCTTCTAATTATGCAATTAACCTTTATTATTTGTCATGATTTAAAGCCTGCATTAATATTCCCATCCAATAAATGCTTTTCTTTATTTGCCCTTATATCTATTTTCATGAGATAATTATATTGAAATGAAAGAAATGTTGTGTTAGAGGCCATTCTAATGAGATAAACCGCATTAATTTTAAAATTAAATTTTGAAATAAAAGGGGATTTTTATGCCCAATTTAGAAACCTCGGTGGATGCCTAGCAATTTGACCGGCCATTAAATGTTACTCCGTACAACTAATGCCAAATACTCCATATTACATTTTCATAAATAGTAAACTTTTAATTATGCAATTAACTGCATTGTGTGTCATAATTTAAAACCCATTTTAATATATACTCCTCCCTTCAAATAAATATTTTTCTTTGTTTGCCCTTATATTTATTCTAATGTGATTATTAGATTGAGATGAAAGAAGCGATGTAAACTTTTAATTATGCAATTAATCTGCATTATTGGCTATTTTCTAAAGCCCGTGTTAAAATATACTCCCACCATCCATTAAATATTTTTTCTTTGTTTTTCCTTATACCTATTCTAATGAGATAATTAGATTGAAAAAAAAAAGTGATGTGTTGAAAGTCATAGTACTAATGAGATAAACCACATTAATTTTTAAAAAAAGTTTTGAAACAAAATGAAATTTTGATGCCTAATTTTTAAACCACAGAGAATGGTGGAGCAATTTGGTCGGCCATTAAAAGTTACACAAACTATTGTCAAATACTCCGTAATACATTTTCAGATATAGGAAACCTTTAATTATACAATTAACCTGCATTATCTCCATTATGTAAAGCCCATGTTAATATATACTCCTCCGATCCGGTATCATCCAATAAATGTTTTTCTTTATTTACCCTTATATTTA